TTTGTGTGTGTGTGTGTGTGTGTTCATGCGTGTTATTGTGTGCGCAAGCGTGTGCGTGCCGCTGTTTGTGTGTGTGTGTGTGTGTGTGTGTGTGTGTGTGTGTGTGTGTGCTCTTGTCTGTACGTATGTGTATCAGCGTGTAGGATTCGCGCGTGTGCAGCTGCCGCTAGGTGTGCGATTGGACCCGCGCGCACGCGCACCCTTCTATGCTTCGGTAGCATACTGAGATTCAATCTAATGGAGGTTGAGGCTTCTGGGCACTCTGCCGCAAACTCTTTTGCTACCTTTTGTTTGTTGCCCCCCGTCGCTGAGATCCCATTTGCACGTGATACGGGTATTACGGGGCGAGATCAATTAGCAGAAGGAATCTGTATCGTCTCTCCATTTCTCCTTATTTCGGCGGGATAGGTTGGTTAAGCCTACAACTCGATTCAGGAAGGGTGATAAGGGGGCCCTAATTCGGTGCTGCGCGCCAGAAAAAAACGACGATGATGATGGGAAGTAAGGATCAATAGGCTCGATTAACTCATTTTACATCCAGTGCTTCTGAAACCAGGGCACACCTGACCTGAGTAGTTGGGTATCTGTTTGCAGAAATAGACTCGTAGTATTTTTTTTAATTTTTTTTTATGTTCAAAATTTTAGACCACTTCTCGCTCTATGCGTGTGTCATCCTTGCGCAGGGGCCATTTTGCTAATTACCCTTTCTCTCTATCGTTCCAATTGTAACTGATGTCCCCAAGGACACTCATAGGATTATTCACTCCCGTGTATGTGGCTATTGACGACCTCATTTCATGAAATTTAGTTAAAAAATAAAATGATGATATCGATGGAGGATTCAAGCAAGGGATACCGTCTTCTTGAGATGAGATTGAGTTCGGCGAGACTTCTTTTCCCCCTTTTTCTTAGGGATAATAGGCGGACGCAAGGTAGAGACAGCCATAGCGAGCAATGACTTTCTGTGGACGCCGTCGGCTCGGGAAAACTTCCCTTTTGATGTCGATCATGGATAGAGTGCCCTCTTTTTTTTTGTGGGCTGTATAATAAATTTATATTTATTACTTTTCTAACAAGACCGTTTTTATCTGTACTATAAAAAGATAAATGTCCTTCGGGACATCCGTTATAATTGGAACGATACAGAGAAGATTAGCATGGCCCCTGCGCAAGGATGACACGCATAAAAAGATAAATCCTTTGGCCTAGCCATGTCAAAGACTTCTTCCATAGAACAGCAGTTTCCTTCAAAACGGACATTTTGTATTTCTTGAATGAAATTGAGACCGATTAAAATTCACTAAATCGGCACAAATCGGCCCGATTCAGGTCAAACTGCTTAGCTCATGAGGGTCTGGCTGGCGTTCTTTAAATGCCAGACCCCCTGAACGTATCTGGACTTTGATGTAGTCCAGGGGGTAAGCGTTTCAAGAACAGGGGACCCGCAATTTCATCAAAATTTTGACCTGCCTCGGACGGATTCGGGGCAAATTAGTTGGCTAAACTCGGTTTCGATTTCATTCAAAAAATGAAAAATAAACGTTTTGACGAAATGCCTATTATTAGGTTCCTCTCTCTCTCTCTCTCTCTCTCTCTCTCTCTCTCTCTCTCTCTCTCTCTCACACACACACACACACACACACACACACACACACACACACA